CGCCGCTGAGCCCCGCCCCCGGCCCCCCTAACTCCGCCTTCCCCAAGCCTACCTAATAACCACCCCCCAAGGGGAGAAGCAACAGGGGCTCCCGGTACCCGCTGCTTCCCGCTCCCAACCCTGCTCGCTGCACTACCCCCTCCCATCCTAGGAAGGTCTGTGCCTCAGCTCCGCGCGCTGTCCGTTCTGGGGGTGGTGGTGGAGGGGGAGCGGCTGACGTTCAGTCCACATTCCACCCCACCACCATCTCTGCCTCCTGCGAGTTCCAGAGGTTGAGAGTTTGGGAAGGGAAACTTGAGTCTGGAGACCCTAGGGAGACCTCTTCTCAGTGGAGTGCTTCAAGAGTTAAGGCAAGGCAGGGGTGAGACTTCAGCGGCTTAGGTTCACCTGACAGGGGTGGACTAGCTGATGTGGGAAAGGACTAACAGAGGGCAGAGGGGAGGACATGGGGACTGGCCCTCGTGGCAGCCTCTTCCTTCCCGATGAACAGCCTCGAAGAAGCAGTGAAATGTGTGTGATGCCGTTAGCTGCTGGTTAGGAACAGTAAGTTCTGATGCTCCAACCCAGCTCTGCTGTTCATGTGTTGTGTGACCTTGGGCAGGGTCTTCACCTCTCTGCACCTTACTTTCCTCCGTTGGAAGTGAGGAAGTTCCCTGGACAATGTCTAAAGTTCTGATCTGCGGGTAAGAGTCCCAGACCACAGGCCAGACTGAGCACGGGCTGGCGGCCTACCCCTTCATGCCCCACTGCTTTTCTCTGCATCCCCTAAGATCGAACAGGAAGGAAACTGAAATTCATTCATTCGTTGCCACTTGCAGCCAGCTGGTTCAAGGTACTACTGTGGCCCTGCTCAGAAATGACACGCACAAATACCTACCCTCAAGGAGTGCAGCGTCTAACAGGCAGATAGGCATCGAAACCAACTGTTAGGGCGAAAACCATTCTCCTTGAATCAGGTCCAATTCATATCAATCTCATGTGTGTCGTTGTAGGGCAGTGCCCATGGCTCCTTTTTTACCAGCTGATTTGTTCCCAAGCAGAAGACCAGGCCTCCTGAGGTGCCTCTGGGTGGACTGAAACCTCCAAACTGAGCGCATCTGCTGTTGGCAGACCTCCCCCCTCCTACTCGCCTCCCCCCATTCCCCGGCACACAGACACACACACACACACACACACACACACACACACACACCATCCCCAGGGACTCCACCATTATGATAGATTGTGATTCAGGCCATACATGATTAATCTGGGCTTGCACACGTCACTGTGGAATCCTACTGTGTGTCATGTCCCACATTAAGCTCTTTGACATTTCTTAACTGACCTCACCATTTACCCGAAAGGAACCAAAGCCCAGAGAGGGCCTTACTCAAGATCTCCTGCTAGCACAAACTAAGGCTAAAGCTAGGATCTAGCCCATTCAAAAGTCCACGGGAGGGGTCCAGGTAGGGAGTTAGCTTGCGGCAATGCCACATGTATCTGATCTCTGTGGAGCAGGTACAAGTAAAGCCATCTGTCTGGAATGTTCCTGCCACAGCCTTGGTCCGGAAGTATTTTCTTGTCCCCAAGGAAATTTTTTCACACTAAACAATTATAATAATTCTTCGCTCACTTTCTGTGTGCTGGTACTCTTTCTCCTGCATGTTATTTATTTGATTGAATAACTGTTAATATGCGTAGGGCGGTTCCTAAAGAAGCCCCACACAAACAGAACTGAATTGCAGTGAAGTCTTGTTCAGAGAGGAGATTCTGGAGTGCCCCCCCCCAAAGCGTCCTCCAGGCACCAAACACCTGGGACTCCTGAGGGACTCGAACCCGCAACCTTGGAATCCCTTACTGAAAAGGGCTAGAAGCCCAATGCGCTATCCATTGCGCCACAGAGCCCCGGAAGTATTTTCTTACTCTTTCCTTCACAGGCCAGATGAAGGAGACTTTTGCCTGTTGTTAGAGCTACCCAGTCTGCATGGCCCTCTCAAGGTCCCCGAGGGCATCCTCCCCGCTGGGAGCCTAAAGAGATAGGGCTTTGCATTTACTTCTGACATCAACAGAGGACACACGCTTGGTGGCTTCCTCCAATATCACCCAAGCTTTTAGGGAAGTCCTGCCTCAGAGCGAGCTCCAACCCCTCCTGTTCTGGTGTGTCAGTTCCTTCCATCTCCTGCGTCCGTCCTCAGTGCAGACAGACAGAAGAGCTCTGAATCCTGGCCTTTCCAACCTGAGGAGTTCCTTACTCTCATTTCATGTGTGTAATTGAGCCTCCCTGGGGGCCCCACACCCGCACTACATTCTTCTCCCATCTCCACTTTAGGGGACTTGGGACAACTGCAGGCTCCTGCAGGGGCACCAGAGGACCACCACTGCCTCATTCACACTCTTCTCTGGAGGCCCAAGGAAAAGAGGGGTGGAGGGAAGGGGCTGTGGAAGAAGCCAGCTGGTCACCATGGAAACTGGGCCTAGTTCCCAAAGATGAGCCTGGCTGGGGTGGGCAGAAGTAGGGAGCAGGACCGCATCAAAGGGAACCAAAGACACA